CACACACACACACACACACACACACACACACACACACCAAAATAAAAAAAAAACCGCCACAAGCCACGTACAGAGACGGAAAGGTAGTCCCTGATTGAAGTAAGGCTGCCAAGGCCATCCAAGTTGGTGATCTTTGGGTTGGTCTACGTGTGTTCATGTTCAAAGGTGAGACAGCAAGCAGAGCACACCGTCTGGGAAAGGTAGGCGAAACATGTGCACAGTGAAATGCGGACTGGAAAACAAACGTGTCTTTCAGTAGCATCATCAGCAGCCTCACCGAGATGTAAACGTATGAGCCCACTGATGCTAAACTGGCCATGCCATCCACGTTTGTTCTGATGGCATTCATCTAAACTCAAAAACAGCATGAGAGCGCGCCTTGATCTTAACAAGCGACACACGCACCGCAAAAAACACATTGCCACCAATGGAGGTTAGGCTATTAAAGCCGTCCACATTTGTCAACATGTTGTTCATCTAACCCAGACGCATGCGCAAGTCGCATGAGCCGCAACCAAAGAACATTCGCTGGACTTCTCAAGAGTGCACTTACATTCATGTACACGTAGTTCCCAATGGTGGCGAGGTTGCCGAGCCCATCCATGTTTGTTAACGATGGACTCGCCTATGCCATGGTGCATCAAGCAAAACTTTTGTGACATGGGGCAAAACACAAGCGCGAAAAAGAATCGCAAGGCTCTCAACGAGGCTTGGAGCGAAGTTACCCCTTACATGAAGGTAGAAGTATCCGCCGACACTAGTAAGGCTTGACAGACCATCCAGGTCGGTCAGCTTTGGGTGGTCCTACCAAACCGTGAGGGTGGCATGGCCATGGTTGATTAATGACACCCGGTGAGCAGAAAACAACATCAAGCCGCATGTTCCTCAGAGACGATGGTCTAAGGCAATCACCGATTGACGAAAGGCTTGTGAGCCCGTCAACGTTTGTCAGCTCACCATTAGTCTAGTCATACCCATGTCTCGTGAATTCTTCCTTGTTTGCACGTCCAGCCGGGCCCTGCCCAGCCTGATACCTGGAAGCGAACGTAGCCAAGCACAGATTCCAAGCTGCCCAAAAAGTCCACATTGGTCAAGGTCAAGCTCTACCAACGACGGCCAGTACGAGTGAGTCTTGAATTAGAGGTGCATCGGCTCGTTCACTGCATACGCAGCGGCCTACCGTCAGCCTGATGTTTTCCGTCACGTGCATCAAGGCGTTCATCTTTTGCAAGGTGGCTGGCGCCAATGAGCCGCAGTTGTGCATGATGATGCTCCCCTGCACCACCTGCACTCCGTCTGGCACCACGCTCAAGTCACAGGAAATGGTCCCGACATATGTGATGGGCTCTGTCGTTGTGGTCGTTGTGCTAGTTGTCGATGTGGTCGTTGTGCTGGTTGTCGATGTGGTCGTGGTGGAAGTGGTGGTTGTGGCGAGAACCAGGCACGTAGCCGACCTGCCATTTTACAGCCATGCTCACAGTGAAGGCACACACAACGACGATGCATGACATGAACATCTGAACGCACACAAGCATAAGACGCACCGATTGCAACGGTCTGTGCGGAGCTGGGCAATTGGGGCGTCAAAGTCACTGTACGCAGGCTCAACACGCGCCACGCCGCAGCTGCGATAGCGCAGTTGTACGTCGGCGTTGACAAAGCTTTCCACGTTGACGGGGGCGCCGTCCGCATAGACGAGCTGATCATTACCCTCGACCTGCATGCCGACCCACAGATCGGCAAACGGGCGGACACCATCGCGCACCAGGTTGTCAACCAGGCTATCGAGCTCGGCTTGATCGCGGGGGGGGGCAGCCAATTCATGACTCAGGTCACGGCAAGCGGTGGTAGCCTCGTCGTGGCTGTACCGACCAGGCGGCATCATGTAGAAGTAAGCAGGCGGGCCAGAGGTGCTGACGCTGGGGCAGTACTGGCTAGGGGCTGGACGCTCGCACACAAAAAAGCGAGGTTTGTGGCAGGCTTTCGTTTGCAATGCACCGGCAAAGGAGTTATACTGCACACACTGATTCGCATCGATGGTTCCTTGCTGCGACACGGCGCTAGGGGACACCAGCCCCGTAGCAAATTCGACCTCGGTTGGGTGGTCTGCGGTGATGATCCCGCCCAGCCAAAAGCTCTGTTCTTGGCGGGCGTCCAAGATGGCTGCCAAAGTGGAAAGGTCCATGGGATCGACGGGGTTGGCCAGCAGGGCATCGTTGGCAGTTCAATAGGCAGCAGCATCAGCCCAGGAGAGGCGGTCCGTATCGACGACCAGGTATTGCAGGCCGTTGTCGGCAACGCTGAAGGGGCCAATATCGCACGGCCAGGGTGTGGCAGCAACCCAGGAGAGGCCACCCAGCAACGTCAGTGCGAGAGCAGGAAGCTTCATGGTGATGGGTACAGGCGGGTTGAGGAAAATGCCACGCTTCTGAGCCGATGCAGTGAGGGCATTAACAACCAAAAAAAAAAAAAAAAAAACAACGCCCAAAGGGCCATCCGCAGCGCCAAACAATTGATCGTCTGCCCACCAGCGTGGCAGGGTAGCTTGGTCAGGTGCCGACGCCCAAGTCCTGGTTGCGTCATGCACTGCGAGTCGAAACACGGAGCCACAAACCAGACTGGACAGACCAAGCGGCGATCTGCATCACAAGGATGGCAATGCGCATGCACACCCAATCCTGCGGACATATTGATCGCCAAAACGAATCAAAAAACACATGCATGTATATGGATAACGGTTGTTTTGGTCAGTTGATTGGCTGTGAGAAGAGGGCGCACGTCCGCGAGCGGGTGTTTACGTGGGTCGCGTGTCAAGTACATGATGCACAAAAACCACGCAATCTCTGCCCCTATCCGTTACATGTGAGGAACCTGACTGCCGACCACATGTTGCCAAGGCCAGTCGCTTGCAGCGGTTCTGTGGCTGAAATGAGGGCGTGGTCTCGAACGAGATGCACTGGGTCCTCACTGCAGGAACCAGGTATAAATATAATAGCGGTCACGATTATTGTACTTGAACCACGTAAAGAAAGAAGAACAACTCCGGGTGTTTGCAGCTCGCCCTGACTAGTGTGCCCTCCTCGCCTCCTCCACACACTCACTCACTCATAAAAGTACGGTCCTGCTTGAAATACATCCGGATGCTTGCTTCGTTTGCTTGTCGAGCATGATTGTAGAAAAAATTAAACGCATAGCCTTTTCCAGATCGCTCTACTTTCATGTCGCTTTACTTTCCACCCTATTTTAAGAAGTGATGGAGCGCTCCGCCACACCGGAGGTGTCCAGCCAGTCGTTTCAGAATTGAGGCACATTATGAGTGACACGAGTGCTGCAGTGGGGCGTACTACTGATACAACGACTTCACGCGCTGCAAGGTCCACACGAGGGTCAACCGATCTTGTGGATGAGACAGAAATGGAGACCCCAACATGCTCGACGTTGCTCGTCTGCTCTCTGAAGCATGGGGGGATGCTGACGAAGACGCCATTGTCAACTGCTGGACTCGAGGCGACTGTTGTTTGGGTGTTGTTTCTTACCGATCTCTCGACATGGAATTTCCTGCCTAATGTCAGACAAACAATGTTGAGTCTCTTTCTTGGAAAGTCAGTAGCGAGTCCCCCCATGTCGGACTGTAGTTTCAATGTCGGACTGTACATCGGATGTAGTTTCGAACTCGGTTTTCGATTTTTTTTTTCTGAAGGGTTCAATGTGGTGCTGGCGCTGGCGAAACAACGGTCCAGTGAATTTGGGAGCATTGATTTCTCGACACGCCACTGCTTCATGATGCTGCGTTGGATCGTGTGCAGTCTACTTGTCTTGATGGTCATGACCAAGGCTCACGGCGCTTTGGCTGGTGACAAACCCATCATCGTGACCGATGGGGATGGTAATCTCTTTATCAATACTTCATCAACAAGCGGCAATACACGGGTTTTCATCAATGGGGTGGATGTACTGGGCAAACTGACTGAGCTGCGCGAAATCTTAGTTGACCAGGGATTTACCGCCGCACCTACAAACACACCTGTGACGTACTCGGGCACAGTTGGCTGTCAGCTGAGCAACATGCCCTCTCATGTCACACATATTGTGGGGGACGTGAACTTGGTCTCATGCACACTGCTAACGGCCCTGGACTTGCAACTCTTTGACAAGCTTGTTCAAGTGAGCGGCTATTTTCGTATTGTTGTAAGTTTTACCGTGAAGTCATTTGCTGCAGGCGATGTCAGGTATCGCTGCTTTCCAAGCAAATGATGTGCCTTTTGATTGTTTTTTTTTTTCCTTTTTTTTTTTTTTGCACAAAGTGCTGAGATCTCAAAGAAGATGTGAGCTCACCCACTCTGAACGTGACAGGGGAATGATGCTCTGACGAATCTGCATATGTTTCAAAGTCTGAGCGCAATTGGCAAATCACTGGAGCTCGGAGTAAGTCTTTTTGGGCCCAGGGAGCAATGAATGCTTTGCAATATTACCGCCTTGTCTTCAATGATGTCGGTTGGGAAGATAGCCCGCTACTTCGAGCTGACTGGTGTCGCGGGCATTTTGGCAAAATGAGTCGCGTGCACGGCTCATCTTGATGATATTTGACGCGACTCACCCACTGATATGCTGACCCGGGCAGAGGAATGATGCCCTCATCAATGTGGATGGCCTGGGCAAGCTCACGAGCATTGGCGACGACGTGATAATTAAAGTACGTGCTCTCATGGGTATGCCTAATAACACTGCCGATCTGTGGCGCAGATGCTTGTGTGCATCACGTCTGTTGACTGTCGACTTTGGCAGGACAATACCGCTTTGGCCAATGTGGATGGGCTTCAAAACATCACAAGCCTGGGAGGCACTTTGAGGCTTGTGGTATGTCGTCACATGGCCTCATCAAGGCCCGTTGTGCGTTATCCAAGACGGAGAATGATGAGAAGTGTAAAATTTCTTAAACAGTTTTTTTTTTTTTTTTTGCTGGGCTGTGCAGGGTAACGATGCCCTCACCAATGTGAATGGGTTTGGGAGCATCACAACCGTTTATGAAGTGTATTTCTACGTGCGTTGACATTCGATGAACACATGTCAAAGTTGATGTTGCTTGAGCGTTGTGCTCATTAATCATTTTGCCGGGCAGGATAATGACGCTCTTACCAATGTAGATGGGCTGAGCAGTCTCACAAGCACAACCGGATACTTGTACTTTTACGTACGTTGTTGGACATGTTCTGTATGTGTCAGTGCCTGGACAAATGATAGATATTCACGAGCAATTATGGCGTCTCATCTGTTTGGCCAGGACAACAATGCTTTGGCCAATGTTGACGGGCTTCGGAGTCTCACAAGCGTTGGTGGCCACTTGCGGCTCAGGGTATGTCGGCTCAACATTGTTCAGGAGGCGGTTACGATGGAGAAAGCATGCCGTGATGCTTAGTCCTTGGTTTGTTGTTCTGCTCGTCTGGAAAGGTTAATCCTGCTCTAACCAATATGGATGGGCTTGGAAGTCTGACAAGCATTGGTGGTTATTTACGCATTGATGTACGCCATTGTCTAAAGCGGTTCATGTCGCTGCTGGATATGACAAGAGGGCGGTTCCAAGTGTCTCATCTGTTGTGCTTTCGGATTGGACAGGTCAACGGTGCCTTGACCAATGTGGATGCGCTCGGAAACCTCAAAAGCGTTGGAAGCTACGTGTACTTTTTTGTGCGTTGTCGGGTATTTTGTGTCGGATGTCCAGCCAGACAATTCCCTCCCATGGTATAGTATGACGGTCTGAGGGTGCTTCTTTGCTCGATGCAGAGAAACAAAGGCTTAACCAATATCGACGGGCTCAAAAGTCTTTCACACATTCATAGCTACTTGAACATTGAAGTATGTGACCTCAAATGATCGTGTGTTGGTGTTGGAAACGGGAGGTTGCACTCGTTATCTGATGCATGCATACTGAGCATCGAATCTAATCACATTGATTTTTCTGGGAAGGACAATGCGGGTCTAACCAACGTGGATGCGCTTGGAAGCCTCCTGAGCGTCGGCAGCTACGTGCGGCTCAAGGTATGTTGTCTCATATGCGTGCATGCTGGTGTCAAGGGTCTGGTATTCGAAATCAAACCTTATGCAAATCACAATGCCTCATGATATTACTATGTTGTTTTGCTGGGATCGACAGAACAATAACGCCTTAACAAATGTGGAGGGGCTGAAAAATGTCACAAGCGTTGGCGGCAACCTGTATTTTTCCGTATGTCGTTCTGTATTACGAAAGCCAGGGCGTACGCGTACCATTAGAGATGGATGTGTGTCGCAATGAGCGCATCATTGTGTGCTTTGCTAATTTGTGCAGGCCAATAACGCATTGATCAATGTGGATGGGCTTGAAAGCCTCGCAAGCGTTGGTGGCGATTTGATTGTAGACGTACGTTGTTGCATGAGAATGACGGGAACGTCGCGAACTGATTGGGCCTGTTGTCAATGATCACGCGTCTAATGTGCTTCTTTCTTGACTCGCAGTCCAATGGGGCTCTGACCAATGTGGACGGGCTTGCGAGTCTTACATTTGTTGGAGGAAGCGTGCAAATTTGCTCAAATTCTCAACTTGACCCATCAATGGTCCCTGAATCGCTTCAATCACTGGGTACTTGCCAGGCCATCACCAGTGGAACATGCAACTCTTGTTGAGCGACTGCGAGGCGCCGCAGGGGTCGAGAGCTGGTAGGCCTGATGATGGGATTCTTGCAACTGGTGTCGCTGTCTGGCTGCTTTTATGAAAATGAGTTGGGATTGTTTCTGCAGCTGGTCGCTGTGAATGCTGCCAACCTCAGTTGGCTCAATTGACATCAACCATTCCCCGACGGACGTCTCTCAAACCTCTATCAAGGCATCGATGCCGAGGCCACCAGGTCAGGAAGGCTGAAGAGCTAAGTTGCCGATACGCCCCAAACGCTGGTCGTGGGCCAAGGCTACGTGGGTAGAACTGAGCCTCTCTGCGCGCCGAACTCTGGCCGCAGCCAAAAGAAGGGGGGGCGCTCGAAAACATTCATGCCAAGGTTCTCGCTCGAACACTATTACCTTATCCTCTTCATGGAAAGTGTCTCAAGACTCGGAGATCAACGCCACCACAAGAGCAATCAAGACAGCACCGTGGTGGCCATTTGTAGCGACAAAAAGAGTTGTTTATCCACTGCTTGTTTTCTTTGGAGGCGAGCTGGCATGAACTCAAGCTCGCTAGAAGTTTGATATGGTCGACAGCGTCAAAACAGCTCGCCATAAAACTTGGAATGTGTTCCAGCTACCATGGCTGGCGAAGGAGCAGTACAAGCCCCAGTTTCGCGGGCGCTTTGAAAGCACATCGGATTTTGCTTGTATGACGTTTTGATTCAATCATCAACAAGAAAAAAAAAACGTCTACATGTAAACGTGTGTTGCACTTACATTTACCTTGTTCACCTTACTCTCTTTTGCTTTTGACTTCTGCTTGCCTCTCTTTGGCATCGGTATTGACATCGGCATCGGGGGGTTGCTTGACGTGTCTTGCTTTGTGCATGGTGGTTGATCGCTTGTGGCTGCTACGGGGCTCTTTTGGTTGGGGCCTTTTTGCGACGCCAGAACGTTTGTTTGAGAGCATCGCAGCCACTTTTTTTTTTACCCGTGGTGTGGGTGCCACTGATCTCGCATCGCAGGAGTCAGCGTGCGCTTGGGAAAATATGCACACCTGCACTCGCAACTGTCACCGAGAACTGTTGTACAAAGGTGAGTCGCTTGGTGCATTGAGGCAGCGCAGAGGAAAGGCCGGCTGACCGGCTGCCGTTTTCCAAGCGCGCGAGT